GTCTCAGACACGGGGGACTTAGATATAAATAGTATTACGCGTTTTAATTACTTTAAGAAATAAAAAACGGGTTATCGGCGGTACCCTACAGGGTTAAAAAGAAAGGACCGGCTACGTCCGGGCCTAGGGAAAGGTTAGGCGGCTAATCGAAATTAATAAAGGAGTCGAGGATAATATTAAGATCCGAGGGAATAATATTAATAGCCTCCCAATCCACGACTCTAAAGGCACCTATTAACTAAGCCCGATTAATAAAATATTATTTATTTAATTAATTTATAAAGGACGTTAAACTATTAACTTCGTTTAGCGATTCTATACCTCGATAAAAGAGTTTAAAACCTTAGTTACGTATCGACGTACGCTACTTACGTAAATAAGTTAAGGTACTTAACGTTTCGGCTAATAAATTTTTTTTATAATTATTTTATTATTAATCTTTTTTTATTTCGATAAATTTTTTATTATTACGGTTATTAATAAAAAGACGTATAGTTACGGTACTTAAATATTTATAGAAATTAATTACGTTTGAATTATTATATAATTTATTTACTCGAACGTAATTCGAATAGCAATTCGACCCCTCCTTTATAATATAACGTCCTTAAAGTTTCGCGCGTTAATAACGGGAGTAAAGTATAATTTTAATACCGTCTTAGTCGATCGAATCGGAAAGGACTATTCATTCGCGAGCTATATTATAGTAACGTTTCTCTACGCGCCCTAATATAATTAGTAACGCTAAGTAAGCCTAAAGAAGGAAAAGGGAAAGGGAATACATATATAATAAAAAAAAAAAAAAAGTATTAAAGTATAAAAAATAATAGCAGCAAATCTTTCGGGATAAAAAATAAAGAGGGGGAATATTATATTATAGACTAACTATATAGTAAAGCAAAGTAGGGACTACAGTAGGCCGTAGTAACTAATTAAATAATAAATAAAAGCGAGGCTATAGGATAGAGGGGCGCTTACCTCTTAGCAGAGGTGAGCCGGCTCGCTAGGAGCGCTAGGTGAGCAAAGTGAGCTAGGATGGATTACTAGGAGCGCTTAGTGATCGAGGTAATTTAAGTACGGAAGTACCTAAAGGATTAAGGTCTATATATACGGAGGAACTAGCCGGTGTAGATAGATAGTTCCGCAGTATGTAATTTAGTTTATATTTACGGTATTTAGTATTTATATTGAGATATCTTGTTGTGCACTGTTTAGCTGCACCGAACTAATTATCAGAAGTTACCTTTAATTAATATTCCTTTCAGAGGTTCTGTATAGGGGTTCGTTATAAGGTAGTATTTCTCTATAAACCTTTTACGTTAAAAATAATCTTTATATAATGTTGAAATAGGTGCTATTAAGGCCTGTAAATATAGGCTTAAATAGCTATCGGCGTAATATACTGAGAGCGAAGAAGATTTTAACTGTAGTATTCAATAGTTGCCGGGGCACTAAAGGAAAGTAGATTACAGGGGCGGCGCCCTGTAATATATAGAAGATAATCACTGTAATATAGGCTTGTGAGGCACTAATAAGTGTAGTAAACTAGTATATTGATTGAACCTTATAGACTAAGAAATATCACAGTAAATAGGGTGTGAGGCAGAGGTTTTATAGGCCGTTAGCCCTCCACTCGCTCCCCGAAGTAACTCTATTCCCGGGCCCGAACGCCCGCTAAGTGCGCTAACTAAAAATAAGGTTACAAGCCTCGTTACAAGCCACGTTGCGCTACCGTTTGACCGCTGCAGGGCTCGGCTTTCCGGGACTTCGGATTGCTTCAGGAAGCCGAGTTCCGTTCCGGTAACCGTGGTCCCTAAACACTGCTGATCTAAGCCATTATATTGCCTCTAAGGCCCTGTAATATACAGGGCTTAGATACACTGTAAAATCCACAAAGAAAAGCTATATTGTAACAGGTTTTAATACTTATTTTGTTTTTTTTTTAGTTTCAGTTATTTAAAGCTTTATTTATAATAAAAATATCAGCTTCATTAAAATAATCGCTTATAAGGTTTAGTACAATAATATAAATGTAAATAAAAACGAAATTTCTGAGTTTTTTTTAAAGGTAAAATCCGTAATCTTATTAACTTAATTAACGTGGTTATAGTAATTATTATAAATATAATATAGGATTAATAAAAAGATATCACTTTATCCTACAGAATATATCTCGAGAATTAGAAATATAAAATTGAAGAGTTTTAGGTAAGAAAACACGCGGTTCCTATACACGCGTTTGTAAAAAGGTACATTAAAAGATAGGGGGCTGTAGTAGGTATACGTCAGGTCACCACACGGGCCACAGATTTTTAGCCTTTTGCCAGTGTCAAAAGGGTGCAGTCGCAGGAAACACCGAGCCGCAAGCTTACCTGGAGCGCGTGCGCAGGTGGCTAGAGCGCTAGCAGTCTGCAGCAGCCGTTAGTAACCGAAGATATTCCGATTATCTAATCTTATCGACAGTGGGCTAGCATCGCGGGGCCACAGTGTGGGCTCGCCGTTGATAAGCACGGTGTTGAGGGGGCCACTTACAGACCAAAGACAGAGATGGTGTGGTTGACGAGGCAATAAGAAGTTTGAAGCAGCACAGCAGTTCCAAAACCCCAAAAAATACATTTGCACTCGATTTGCGAGGCCCATCATTAAGTAGTCGCCGATGACCCTCTGCCTCCACGGTGTGGCTCATTACAGCTGGTGGGTGCTTGATGAAGTTGATGATATCAATCAAAAAACTGCTAACTTGCAAGAGCCAGACAATGCTTTTATAAACCCATTTTACGCTCCATCTTCAATATTTCTCGGTGAAACGATACACGCCCACCCAGACCTGAGCAACACTGCCCCCTGAACCCCTGACTTTTGTCCTCCCCTCACACAACCACGAGCAGTGCACCAACGATGACAACCCAAGATCAAGTCAACCCCCCACCCCCAGAGGGAGAATCCTCCATCTCCCTCCCGGGAATCTACGTCTCCCTCACCGACCTCCCCCTCGACATCCTCTCAATAATGGACAAAGTCCGCAGCCCAGAAGCGGGCGCCATCGTCACCTTTGCCGGCACGACAAGAAACAACTTTGCCTCCAAACCCGTCACCTCCCTAACCTACACCTCGTACCGCCCCCTAGCCCTCCAAACCCTCTCCTCCATCGCCTCTTCGCTTCTGACCAAGCACGCCCTAAAAGGAATCGCCATCGTCCATCGCCTGGGCACAGTCCCCATAGGCGAGGAGAGTATCCTCATCGCGGTGAGCTCTGCCCATCGGAAGGCTGCATGGCTCGCGGGCGAGGAGGCGCTGGAGGAGTGCAAGGAGAAGGTGGAGGTTTGGAAACGGGAGGAGTTTGAGGATGGGGGGGTTTGGAGGGCTAATAGGGATGGGCATCAGGGGGCGGAGGTGAAGGAGGGGAACAAGGGCGAGTAAAAGGGAAGAGGGTTTGCATGTTGAGATTTGGCTTGTAATCATGCTGCCCGCATTCACTGCGGTACCG